GCGAAAACAGGATAATCATATATTATTGGCTGTCCGAACAAGAAAATTATTACAAATCATACATATCCAAACACAAAGTAATAATGAGTTTAGATGCAACAAATGCTGCCCATTTTGAAAGAATTTGGGCCACTAAATAATATGAAAATCACCAAGCATTTATTTTTATATTTTTTTTTTTTTTTCATTTATTTACCAAATAAAAAGAATTACAGACAAAATTTGTTTTGACAGCATTCAGGAAACCACTAAGGTTTGTGTTGATGCTGATATGTGTGTGTAATTGAAACTTTTCAAGGCAAAAGTAGTCTGCCTATCTTGCAAATGGTATCAGAGAGCCAGACGATGGAAACCATTACAAAATGTCTCTCTACATGGGTTACCAAGAGAACACCACCAAATGAGGTAATTTGTGACGATTCGTCCGCGTTGATTGGAGCAGCCATTAAAGCATTCACTAAGTGTAAAACCACCAGGGAATACTTAGATGAATCATTTCAACTACTAACTAAAAATGACAGTACATCGTCTCAGTGTTATATAAGGATAGACACCAATCACTTCATCAAAATATTATTTAACTTACCATGTTTTAAAAATGTCGATCCACGAGTGAAATTTTCTTACATCAGTTGCTTAAGGGAAATTAAAAATTCTAAGGATTACGATGTAATCTATACTTATAATTATCCTGTCTTCGTCTTCTAGATTTATTTCTTACTATGTAGTAGTCCCGCTACGCGCCAACCATATCGCACAAGCTGTTTAGAGTATTACCTATACGCTGAAAAAAGATTTGTTCAAATCGGTTCATAATTGGCGGAGCTATCGCGTAACAAACATAAAAAAAAAAAAAAAAAAAAAAAAAAAACATACGGGTCGAATTGAGAACCTCCTCCTTTTTTTGAAGTCGGTTGAAAAATTGCCCCTCTCTTTCCTACCCTACCTGCCGGAGTGCCATAGTTCCTATCCTCATTCTTAGGTGCGATTGTGTAAAGTTGTTCATGGATGGACAATGAATACAATTGATCATCGATCGTATATCTAAATTCGAATTGTGTAATTTTGTCCATTTCATGAAGACCGAAAAGTGACCGGTCGTATATAATCGTTTCATGGATTTGCGTTTTATTAATGAAAAACATTCGCTAAAACTCATTATTTTTTAACAAATAACAAATGAAATCCATGTTCAAATGCAGTTTTTTTTAATAAAATTTTATGATTGCACCTTAATAACATACTTTTATTCATAAAAACATTGAATTCGAATTAAAAATTTACCTCTGCAAATCATATAACCAAACGCATAGAACGAATGAAATACGAGTTCCACTACCCGCCCCCAGGTGGCATACATACTTTAAGGCTAGGCAGGCTAAGTTGAATACTACTCTACAATAGGTGGCGTTAATGGACTACGAAAAACGACGGATGGGGCAGAGGGCGTCCACAACAGTCCTCCATCTAGTTCGGTCTTGAGCTTCTCGCTTGATCTCGCTCCAGGTTTTGCCGATCCTCTTCGCCTCGTCCGCTACAGTGCGCCGCCAAGTTTGCCTGGGTCGACCACGTTTGCGTTTTCCTTGGGGATTCCAATCCAGAGCCTGCTTAGGGATGTGATCGGGGTCCCTTCGGAGAGTGTGGCCGATCCAGTTCCACTTGCGGCGCTTGATCTGCTGGTCGATCGGAATTTCGTGGCAGCGTTCCAATAGCTCGACGTTGGAGATTTTCTCGGGCCAGTATATGCCGAGAATTCGGCGAAGGCAGCGGTTGATGAAGACCTGCAGCTGGTGCGAGATAACCTTGGTGACCTTCGACGTTTCACACCCATAAAGCAGAATGGATTTAACGTTGGACCCGAATATTTTGATCTTGACCCTTCGGGTCAATTTCCGTGACTGCCATATGGGGCGAAGTTGTGCGAAAGTAGCTCTGGCCTTGGCAATGCGCGAAGTGATGTCCTCTTCAGTACCTCCAGTTTCTGACACGACGCTCCCGAGGTAGGTGAAATTGTGGACTCGTGCTACATCCTCTGCACCAATCCGTAATGGCGTGCAATTTCTCACATCAGATCGCATCTCTTGGGTCTTCCGGCAGTTAATTTTGAGCCTTGTGATACCCGCTTCTCGATGTAGGTCATCAAGTTTGGACTGCATATCGTGATGCGTGTGGCTCAGCAAACAGAGGTCATCGGCATAATCTAAGTCTTCTAAGACTCCGGTTATACCCCACTCTATTTCACGCCGTTGGTCTTGATATGCGCGATTCACGACTCCATCCAAGACAACCAGAAAGAGAAGGGGCGAAAACCATTTAAAAGCCTAGTTCTAAACTTCATTTCATTAAAGGAAAGGGTTTTACCCCAAAAATGTGTCTGTAGAAGAATCCAGGGTCACTTCTTCAAAAAATAGGTAGTTACGCTTGAGCCGACTTTTATGACTATAAAACTGTTAAGTTGGGATTAATCGCTATCCATCTGTTAAAGAGGACACGTGTGATCATTATTTGGTGTTATAACCATAAAAATTGGTCTAGTTGATCCCAGAGGTGAGTCCAAAGTGAGGTCTTTTTTCAAGTCACATTTATTGTATATCGCGTTTATGTTACCCGTTTATTAAGAATATAATGTGTTTTTCTTTAAGGATATTTATTGGGCTTTCAAATAACACCAATATTGTTAGGGCACCATGACTGTATCAGTAGAAACGAGTTTTCCTGTAAAACGTAGGTGGGCCGATTTTTGTGATGACCAGTATAGTTAAATTTTCGCTATTCAATCACACACTCACGATTGCAGCCGAAATTGAATTGATCTGCCCCCTAGACAAGTGGCAAAATCTGACATTCTATTCGGACGGATTCGATTTTCCAAAAGTGTGACTAGTCTATTCTACTAATAGACCCACTGATCGCGTTCGAAGCACCTGTGCGGCACTATAATCGTCACGACATGCAACGAGACAATGGGCCAACTATCCGGCCGCCGGATATCCGGCTATCCGGCCTAGCAGCTGGCCGGATATCCGGTATCCGGTATCCGGCCAAACAACTATCCGTTTCATCTCTAATTGAAACCAAATGTGCTAGTTGAAATCATTCTCCAAATCTATTTTGATTATCTTTTATAACCAAGAATGTTCTTAGATTTGAGTTATCATTGTATATCCGATACTAGTGTTGAGTTACTTGTCAAAAGACAGTGCCGGAAATTGGCGTCTTTTTTTTTTCGCGCAGCCATCGACCAAACCTTGTTTTTTGATTACAAAATAGTATAATAAACCAAACTTACTACGACATGTATACCTCTAAACTCAGTCTGAACTGAGTTACGAGCATTAGAATTTGATGATTTTCATACTAGATTTTCTTTTTGCGCGCAAGTTTTGTAAGAAATTGCAACAAAATAGTGACATTGTATGTGTGAACAAACAATATCATCCATTAAAGGCTCCAGACATCAGTATGAAGCAGAATCAGCGCAATAAAAAAATAGCGCAATATTTTGTTGCAATTTCTTACAAANCATTAGAATTTGATGATTTTCATACTAGATTTTCTTTTTGCGCGCAAGTTTTGTAAGAAATTGCAACAAAATAGTGACATTGTATGTGTGAACAAACAATATCATCCATTAAAGGCTCCAGACATCAGTATGAAGCAGAATCAGCGCAATAAAAAAATAGCGCAATATTTTGTTGCAATTTCTTACAAAACTTGCGCGCAAAAAGCAAATCTAGTATGAAAATCATCAAACTTCTAATGCTCGTAACTCAGTTCAGACTGAGTTTAGAGGTATATATGCCATAGTAAGTTTGGTTTATTACACCATTTTGTAATCAAAAAACAAAGTTCGGTCGATGGCCGCGCGAAAAAAAAAAGACGCCACCTTCCATACAAAATCTGGCATTGCCATTTCAAACAAGTTCAGACAATGTTTTCAGCACAGCACTATTGACCTATCTAAGACAAGCCGCGGTGACGACTCGTTGCGCCCGCGCAAGCGTAACGTAAACTATCAGTCTTAGGACAACCACGTCACATTCTTACCCCCGCTGTAACCGCTAGCCTCTTCAATTTCAACACCCCATTTGATTAATTGATACTACGACATCTAGTGTATCCTGTTTCAAAATGGACGCAGTGTCTGAGGCGCTATTACGAAAAAAGATTTAAAAAGTTAGTTTTTTCTCTCTCACTCAATTTGGAATACCAATATGAATGAAAGAGAAAAAAGTAGATATCATAAATCATCACACCGGGTCCATAGATTACGATTATGACGAGTTTTACTGAATAAGTAACATGTATTTATAGTTCATGGCTAGTTTTTATAGGAACGAATCTGTTTTTAAATAGTTTATTATGGCTAATGTCTTTATAACATTGTCTTGCTATGGACTGACCATCGCAAGCGTTAATATCTTAGTGGCGTATTTTGAAACATTAGAAATTTGCACAAACAAGATTCAAAATGCAAATATGGACTCTAATGCTTCAGACATACGCATTCTGGTGTTATTAGATGCAAAGTTGCGCTTACGAGGGTCGTATTCAAATGCGGTTAAAGCATGGAAGGCAGTGAGCAATAGGATTACCATCAAATGCAGTTTGACGGGTTTCAATATAACATTCACCGCGGCATAATCGATTTCGCTTTAAATTCATGTCATACGTATTCCGATTCTTTTCGATCGCCCCGAAAATAACAGCCTATTATGATAACGAGTCATCGATAAGCATACGATCAATTTTAGTTAGTATTCGCTTTTTATTCGTTAAGCCGATTAAAAGCTGTACGTTTAACTTATATTTGCGAATTATAGAATATTTGTAAACTACGAAATGCTATCGAATTGATTAAAAATGTGTCTATTGGTGTTATTTCATATGACAAATATTTAGACTCGTATTGAGAAATAGCTTCCTTAAATCTTTGGGCATATTTCATATTACAGGCCAAAGACATAAACGAAATCGAGCTCTTACAAAAAGCATCAGAAGACAATTTGTCATAACGATAATCGCTCGGTTATTTACTAATATCATCAAATTCGTTAGCATTTCTAGTTTTGTAATAGGCTAAGACCACACTAGTGAGCGCCTGAGTTGATAGAACAGAGCACAGAACAAGCGTCTCTCCTTTTAACGTATTTTATCGTTGATTCTGGTATGAGTAAATTGAACTAAACGGATATTATTAAGTGCTAATAAACTCCATGATAACAAGCGCAAAGCCAGCGTATCTCAACTAAAATTTATTCTATTTTCAACCTTACCGCTCATCTAGTGTGGTCAAGTCTTAATCCTGCATAATAAATTAATAATCGTTGAAAACTCGACCTTGTTGCCCAGACGGAAGGCTCACAGCGTCTGGGGCGCATGCTTTGGCAGTTGCCGCTTAAGGCGCCTGCCGACGGGTCGCTGTCAGTTGTTCCTCTCGAAGTTGTGGAAGGCCCAATTGATGGATGTGGTCCAGGAGTTCTTGACGGCTTCGCTGAACTTTGAGCGGAAGTGCTCCATTGCTTTCTCTTCGGAGAGGTCCATTACCTGTGTTAGAATGGTGTGATGTACTACTACACAAATAAAGAGTGTACGCTATGGCAACACTGACTAGTACGGCGCGTTGGGGGGTCAGTCGTAGTCGGGCCGCCACACAGGACGGACGTCAGTGCTTGCACTAGTTTACAAATATACCAGTGTTTTATTTAAGACATCACAAATGGTATTTTTAGGAATCTGAAAAGTCTAACTAACAGAAACAGCGCAAGAAATTCAGTTACCATTGTTGTCAGTTCGTTCCCTCGTTTCAGCCAAATGACGTCCACTGCTGGACAAAGGTCTACACCACGGATTTACGTAACGACCGGCGCTGTTAGTCAAACTCTAAAACTAAGCCAAATCCTTCTGTAAGAAGTGGGTTCACCACAATAGCCCAGTTAATGGAATTCAAAATAGCAACCTCTAGAAATTCACTTTTTTTTTATCAACAACGAGGAAGCTTTTGGCCTGTATCTCACCTGATGGTAAGTGGTGCTCAGGCCGAAGGTGAAAGCGAGCTTCACCCGGAATCCTCAACCACAGAGGAACTGGCTATCTTACCTCTAACTGCCGGAACACAACAATACTGTTAACATTGTTGTTAGGGCGGTAGACTTAGGTAATTACTTCGTTCGTTTCAGCGAAATGACGTCCACTGCTGGATAAAGGCCTCCCCCAAGGATTACCATAACGACTACCTGCATCCAGGTATTTCCCGCGACCTTCACCACATCGTCGGTTCACTTGCACAATACGTCTTCCGGCCCGTGGGCACCACTCGAGAACTTTTCTGCTTTTCTTACGGACGTAACTTAAGGAAGGTACGTACTAGGGATGTTAAAGATAATATGTAGTTTCGGTTATGGATACGGTTACGGATATAGGAATAATATTATACCGGTTTCGGTTACGGTTATTTTTTTATTTCGTATATGCGAAAGTTTCGCTTACGGTTACGGATATCTGTGCTTTAGAATGCAATTTTCAGTAGTTGTCCAACATGGTTCATTCATGGCCTCACACTTTACATCGAATTAAAAGTAACAAAAAATAAAAATTGATACTAGATGGCATTATAAAGGTAAATCAGGCTGTTATGCCTTTACATATAGTCCAGTCAATAAAGCATTATAGATGGAAAACTGTAGAACACAATTTCTGACTTCAGGACTTTATTTAGACTAGTTAGGAGGTGAACATAGCAAAAGTCCCCGCCCTTAGCCCTTGAGCCGGCGGGGAGAGGGGGGTTTAAAGATGCCACTTTTCGGTTTTTCGCTTAATCCTCGGAAACTATGCGTCCTAGTGACATGACTACTATGAACCAAAAAAAGCATATTCAATTTGCTACAGATGAGATAGACAAGTTTTTCTATAAATTGTATAGTTTTCGCGGCATCTGCTCTAGAAGGTCTGTAATATTGGAAATTTTATTTTTGTCTTACATGTTCCCTTCAGGAGAAAATCGACTAAATCAACATTGAGCAATCATTCTAGACATGCGGGAGCATGTTAAGCCTAGTTCCAGCGAGGGGACTACACCGTGCGTATATTTAGACGAATCACTTTGAGCCACTTTTGAGTCCTCATCACTCAAAAACTACTGTGCATTAACACTTCAAATTTGGCTCATGTGTTGAGACTTACAAGATATACATCAGTTTCAAATTTCATAAATCTGCCTCAAACGGTTCTTTAGATATTGACGTCCAAAAATCTACATGTCTGACCTATAGACCAAATTCTAACCACTTCCAGATGACCTCGAAGGTTCAAATTTGGCATCCAGAAAGGTAGTTATGTAAATACAAAGGAACAAATAAAAAACCAGTAAATTTTAACATTTCACATGTGATAGATAGATAGTAGTGCTCTAAATATCGATTTTTGAACGTCAATACCTAAAAAACCGTTTGAGGTATATTTATGAAATTTGAAGCTGATATACATCTTGCAAGTCTCAATACATGAGCCAAATTTGAAGTGTTAATGCACAGTAGTTTTTGAATGATGAGGAGTCAAAAGTGGCTCTAATTGGTTCGTCTAAATATACGCACGGTGCAGTCCCCTCCATGGAACTAGGCTTAACATGCTCCCGCATGTCTAAAATGTTTGCTTAATGTTGATTTAGTCGATTTTCTCCTGATGGGAACATGTAAGACAAAAATAAAATTTCCAATATTACAGACCTTCCAGAGCAGATGCCGTGAAAACTATAAAAGATATAGAAAAATTTGACTGTCTCACCTGTAGCAAATTGAATAAGCTTTTTTTGGTTCATAGTAGTTATGTCACTAGGACGCATAGTTTCCGAGGATTAAGCGAAAAACCGAAAAGTGGTACCTTTAAACCCCCCTCTCCCCGTCGGCTCAAGGGCTAAGGGCGGGGACTTTTGCTATGTTCACCACCTAACTAGGCTAAATAAAGTCCCGAGATCAGAAATTGTGTTCCATGGATTTCTCTCTACACCGTCGTTAAGGCATTCATTGACTGGACTAATAGATGCAGAGACCGCTAGCTACTCGTATAATTATTATTAAACTTGCAATATCCGACAGGCTTACATGTCTATGAAAACTGTTATTGCTTTTCCTTTTGATAATGTTATACAAAAACAATTTAAACTGCCTACGTCCGAAACTATCCGAAACTTTTGAATCGGTTACGGTTACTGATATTTTTTTATTTTGGATATCCGAAAGTTTCGGTTACGGTTACGGATATCCATAACATCCCTGGTACGTACTTACATTTTCCCCTACTCCTGGGAGCACCCATGGTTCCTTCTTCTATCTTCAACTAAAGAAAAACATCAAAACTCACCAGTGTCTCGCGCAAGTACTGCAGATCCTTCTCTGAAGACAGCTCGCGCAGGCCGGTCGAGATCATCATGGAGAACAGCGACAGGATCAGGTGCCCGTTCTTGCGGAGGATCTTGAACGCCTGCGGTAAACAAAATATTATTTAATGGAAAGCTGGTTATAGATTGACAGATGTTAAGAGGCGTGGCTTAAATGCGTTGGTACATTTTAGCTATTCATAGACCTTGTACAATCTATTTTACTCTCTTTCTGTCTCTACGGACTCGTACATACCGTACGAGTCAAAAGGTTTGCGGCTCAGATCATAGAAGGGAATAGATGTGAAACGGGGGCGTGGCGCGTGTCTCCGCGATATGCCCAGAAACGAACATCCGCCGCGTAGCTAGGTTAGTCGCGATTCAGTCGTACTAAGGAAATGTTCTCCGATATTTTGGATAATGCGTCGTTACGTGCAATAAAACAAGTGAAACGAAGAACTACAGGAACAATGGAGTCATTTACTACATGTAAGTATTGCAAATCCATTGGTATTTTGCTTATAAATAAAAAAAACTAAACATTTTTACGAACGAATTCAGTGCCGTAACAGTTACTGCGATATCGAAATCAGTGGTGATAAAAATTCTAACACACTTGTACATTGACGATTTAGTTAGCAACCACTTTATGTCATGCTCAACTACTGCNATAACAATAGAAGTAATTAGTAACTGTCAACTATGTAATTACTATAAGAGCTAGTTGAAAGCCTAATATAGGCATTATTTTTGATAAACATATGCGGTACGCAGATCGCCATAATTAAAAAGTAAATGCGTGATAGTAGTTAATAATAACGTATAATAATAAAAAAGGTTTTCTTATAAGCATTTTGTGAAATCAGTTTCGAGCCTTGCCCCTAGCGATTTAAAGTATCGACATCTTGTCGACTCCATTTTATCTTTGTTCTCTCACTAGCGTTTTCAAAGTGTGCGTCACGTCACGCGGCCATTGATTGGCCATAAGGCATGCCTTCTGGCCAATCACAGCACTTTTAAGCCGGTTGCACATGTTGTCGTAGACCAGTGATGGCGAACCTTTATGTCTCAACGTGCCACTTTTCCGAAAAAAATGTTTGATGTAGTCATAGACGTGCCATCAAATAACACCTAATGCTATCAATGAGGGGTATAGATAGTACAAGTTAAATTTTGTGATTGGTGGCGTGCCCTAAATATTGTGGCACGTGCCATCGATGGCACGCGTGCCATTGGTTCGCCATCCCTGTCGTAGACTCTCAGTCGCTTTGTTTTTACACAGTTGAATGTGTGTGTGGGAGCTGTGGTGGGGGAAATGTGGGGACACTGGTTCTCGTTGTAGTTACGCGCGACTTCATATCTATTCTCTTTCTATGATCTGAGGTTTGCGGAGACGGAAACAAGTGGAATGAAAAGTTAAAAAGCGTGATAAAGATGTTCTATGTAAACTAATACGTTGTGCAGTCCCCACACTAGCTTTGCATAAAATTGAGTAAATAAAACCCCACTCGCGCTTGAAGCCATACTTTTGCTTGAAGTGACAGAAGTCAATGTGGAAGTTACAACACTAATAAAGCCCTCACCGTCTCGCAGTGCTCGCGGAAGATCTTGAAGTCGATGGGCTCGTTGTCGCCGGAGCCGCGCTGGCCCTTGTTGATGACGTGGATGAAGACGTGCGTCAGGACGAAGGGCACGCGCTCGCGCTTGAACCCTTACTTCTGCTTGAAATGACAGAAGTCAATGTGGAAGTTACAACACTGATAAAGCCCTCACCGTCTCGCAGTGCTCGCGGAAGATCTTGAAGTCGATGGGCTCGTTGTCGCCGGAGCCGCGCTGGCCCTTGTTGATGACGTGGATGAAGTCGTGCGTCAGGACGAAGGGCACGCGCTCGCGCTTGAAGCCGTACTTCTGCTTGAAGTGGCCGAGGAAGTGACCGAAGTCTATGTGGAATAGCTGCAACAATACAATACAAATTACTTAATAACCCACCAACAATTCGGCATAAGTTTCTAAGTGATTACTTCGTTATAAACTGTGATTGGTTTGTTCTTATATTCATCTTTCAAAATATAGAGATTTTTAAAATCAGTAAATCAAAAGGTTTACTCGTTCACTCTTTTGGTCAAGAAAACATTGCCTGATTCTACTCCAAGCGATTTGCTGTTTAGCGAATATTGTCGAATAAAAGCACAAAAACTTATATCCAGCTGCGTTGTTTGAAGCTATTGTAATCAATCTATATCACCTTGTTAGGTAGATAGAACTGAATCACTTTTCCAGTGCTCATAATTATGTTTCCTTACCTGTCCACTCTTCTTGACCATAATATTGTCCGGATGCCTGTCAGCGATGCCCAGTACGTAGGTGGCAACGCAGTAACCGGCGCAGCTCATGGTGAACTCATCCACGGCTTTGTTGAACGCTACTTCGTTCTGTTTGCCGCCGTCGTCTTCTGTCTGCTTCTTTAGCCATTCTGTTCGGAGAGAGAAGAGGCTTATTATGATCGTAGAATTTCTATCTTTTTTTTTTGAACTTTTGCGTGTCATTACATTTTCAACCAAAGGGATCCAAATGCGACATAAAGTAGTAAATAAGTACTTGCAGCATGAATGGTGAAATATGGGCAAAATGCTTAAGTCATAAATATTTTTAATAAAAGTAAAGAGACTGTTTTGGATTCATAATTAAAAAAAAAACATTTCTAGTCAAATTAAAAATCTCTAATCGCCTCTGGGCAATTGATTAATGAGGGTTTTCGCGAATGAAAGATCCGCTAGATCGCGGGACGTGGATGTGGGGTCTGACTGCTGCGTGATTGGTGGATTTTGACATATCTGTCAATGTCATGTCATTTTTGACATGACATTGACAGATATGTCAAAATCCACCAATCACGCAGCATTTGGACCTCGCGTCTACGTATTGCCATCTGGCGGATTTTTCATTCGCGAAAACCCTCATTGGAGAGATTAAATAGCTAGGTCCACACAGCACACGATCTAATCTGGAAGTGTCGCGCGCAATCGGATCGCGGTGGATCGTCCTGTGTGGACATCTGATGATGACAATGATGGTATAATATTTTAAACTATTATGTTGCATTTTTACTATAAAATTATCACTTCACGGTCTGCCCGCGACCATGACTCGTGCAACCGAGCCGAAACGTCGGGAGGGTAAATATTTTATTTACCGTTGTTAGGGTCTTAACGAATATTAGTGTAAATAAATGAAATAGCGGACTGTATAAAAATAGGTGCTGTATTCTCGCCAGCCTAATTTACAATTAATTATCTAGGATACGCGGTAATCGTGCGTCGACGGTGGTGTCCAAAGGCGAGTGTGTGTCCCGAGCGCAGCCGATGATGACGCTGTCGGCCCGTGGTGACGTTAGTCATTGTACGCCGCCCGCACGTCTCCTCCCGCGCGTTGTTGGGTTCCCAACAACCGTTAAAATAGATATTGTTGCAATAAATCCCGTGAAGTGACAATTTTGACAATGATGATGATGATAAACACTCACGTAACAGCGTAGCTCGGTATATGGTGGAGGCGGCATTGAACAGCGCGCTCTGCTTCTGAATGTTGGCCACGGTCTCCGCGTCTTCCACCACCTCGATCATGCCCACCTCGTTCTCCATTGAGATGCAGTTGTACGGGCTCAGTCTGGTTAAACAGAAACGTGTTTTGAGTTGAGGTAAAAACAAAAGACGACTTTAGGGCTTCTATAGTCTGATCCGGGAGCACGTAGAATTTTGTCCAATGACCGCAAGCTACCCATCCTTATCGCTCGCGCGTAATTATGTTGCTGTCGCGCTCGCACACTCGCTGCACTGGGCACCCGTCGCACAGTCGCGACAGCAATATAATTACGCGCGTGCGATAAGGATGGGTAGCTTGGGGTCATTGGACAAAATTCTACGTGCTCCCGGACCAGACTATACACAAAACTACGAATCAGCGCGACACAAAAATTGAGTGCGCATGAATTGAGTGGGAGTTCGTAGATTTTTACGATGCGACGGCGCATCGCAGTTTTGTGTACAAGCCCTTACAAGGTTTGTGCGTTGTCATCTTCAAGTTAAAAGACGACTGACTTCGTTACTTACGGATAGGGACACGAAAAAAGTATCGATACTTTATGGTATCGAGTAGGTTTCTTTTCGATACCGATACTTTTGTACTCGATAACTTGTATTCGATACTTTTACTTACCAAGTACTTTTGACAGATATCGTATCGAATAAATTACTTGTTTTTTTATTTATTCATAATTTATGGCAACATTTGCAACGCCATCTTGTTCAATCTTGCTGAAGCTTTCATTCATAGAGATAGTTCCGTTGCCGGTAGGTTGCCGGATTCACATTTCATTTGTTTAATTAGTCTATGGTTCATTGGCTGTACTGTAGCTGTATGGACTTAGATCCCTTTGCCTAACCTCACGAAAAAATCATACAAAAAAAACTCTGGTTCATTCGTTCGTTGTTGTTAACTGACAGTTGGTTGTTATTTATAACATGTTGATATTTAATGATTTTCTTGCATTATTGATAAATGATAATTGACTTATTGATATTTCAACCTATTCAGAACAGCACTCACAATTATTCTTGTTTTCGAAAGCTGGAAGTACAATTACTAAAACCCGTAACCGCCTATCGCCAAAAAGGCTCGACAAACTTCTTTTCTTGAGCGATTGTACCGAGGAGGAATGGGATTTATAATATTTTAGATTAAAAAATTGTGGCTTTACTTACAGGTTGTTTTTATTTATCTTAGGGCTGATTTATCCATCGTAAGGTATAAGTTAACAAACCAATAAAGTATAACTCAGCGAATCAAAGTTGTCTACACCTTCATATTTATAATAAATGCATAACATAAAGTGACACTTACTTTTAATCATATTACACTTTATTGGTCTGTTAAGTGTTATCAGACGATGGAAAAATCAGCCCTTATAATTATATATGTACCATTTGTTACTTTTTCATTTTCTCTTACTGTATGAATGAAGGTACAGACGATACTTACTGAACTGACTAACATTGACAAACTAACGTATGGCGTAGGCCCTGCCTGAGAAAAGAACTCGATACTTTGAGGTATCGATACTTTTGTGTCGATTCTTTTACGAGTACGATACTTTTTTATCGATACTACTCATGAGTACAGTATCGATACTTTCTATTCGATACCGTGTCCCGACTTACGGAAGGCTATAGGCTACGTCACATCACGCTATGACCAATACGCTCCACTCCTATTGGTCATGGACGAAAAATGTTGAAAAAACGGAAAAAAAGTATTCAAATTACTTTCACGCGTACAAAGTCGCGGGCTAATAAAGAATAATAAAGCCTATTGACACTTTCATATGATTTGTACCTATTCTGTAAACCTTGCATAAGTCGTCCATCTTTCTTCAAAGTATCTGACAACAAAACTCACCTAAAGTCATATCCATGGCTCTTCCACAGGCGGTCCATGATCCTCAACATTTGCAGCGTGAACATATCCTGACGGAGGTCGTCGCCGATCTTGAGGATGATCCTTATGTCCGACCCGTTAGGGTCTACATTCTCAAAGTCCACCATCAGAGGCCGCATCTTGCTGTCCATCACGCGACACCTTTCGGGCCTAGGAAAAAATGATAGAGTTAGACACAGCTTGAGCTAGATGGGCTAGCAAGGTTTTTTTTTATACAGAACAAGGCAGATATTTGACCGCAATCGCACCTGATTACCAATAATAATAGAACCATGTTATGGGTCTAATGCCCGTTTTCACCATCAATCCCTAACTTTTAAGTGACCCCTATGAAAACAAATTTCATATTATTTGTTACCATAGGGGTCACTTAAAAATTAGGGATTGATGGTGAAAACGGGCATATGTCTATTATGTAAGATCCTTTGTATAGGTACCAACCAACGTGGAGCAATAAATAATTTGAATTTGATTTAAGTGAGGGTACATGCTGCCCTGTTGTAAGTGCTTATTCACTCTCGCCTTAAAAAGGCCCGGATTATAGTGTTCGGGAAAGACAGCAGAATTCCAGTCCCTAACTGTTCGCATTATAAAAGATCTATCGAATTAGAATCGCAGACTTAATGAGTTGGTAAAATTTATTCAGTAGAGAAGGGGTTAAGTGTCGCTGAATTGACATGTGACGACATCCTCACATACACGTCTGGTGACTGCGTCCAAAAACATAACCACGCCTTATTACTTCACTACAAGATAACTTCGAGAAATTTTCTGCTTTTCGCTATGAGCTTACTTGATTCTCCTGCAGACGAAGCTAGGGTTGAGCGGCGACACGAAGTCGGCCAGCATTTCCACGCAGTGCGGCTCTTGTAAGTGTTGCTGCAACGCTGTGCGCGCTCTTGATATCTCTCTCCTCTTGCGGATGCACTGGCTCGCCCCTAAAGTGATATAAAGTTATGAGGATTCAATTCGCTCGTTGGTAGATGCTACATAATCGCAATACGGATAGAATATACAGGGTATCCCAGAATGGGTGAATCAAACTGCTAGGGAAGGCAGCTCTACTAATCTACTATCCCTAAAAAATATGAAAAAAAAAATTGAGTTCGGATTTTTTTTAATAAAGTGCTCTTAACTCTAAATCTAGTCATTATTTTCAAAAGTTTGTTTAAAGATAAACGAAGCGATCATGTACAATTAATATCATTAGTAAGAAAAAAGTACAAATAAACTCCAAACGCAGCGATTATAGCCAGATACTTAGGCAAAGCTGATTTATTTTCACTTTTTCAAAACCATTTTTTTTGTGTCCTGCGCTTTATTTTTTTCATATTTTTTAGGGATAGTACATTAGTAAAGCTACCTCCCCTAGCAGTTTGATTCACCCATTCTGGGATACCCTGTATACCAATATCAAATGACTTGTGACACGCGCGGATTTGTTTTGTTTTCGCACGCGCCGTAACAATCAGATGGCTCGTTGTATTTTACGTTTTTCCATTTATCAGATTCGCGCGCCGATTTTGGCACGCAAATTCCGCTCCACAAATCGAAAGCACTTATATTTGATTTCGTTTTACGCAAAATCAAGCCTAATTTATTACGAAACATTCAAATAATAACGAATGGCATAGGTATCACTAAGGGTGTTTTTAATATTGTGCGGATTTCATCACGGACGCGGGATTGTCCCGCAAGCGTGACACCTGCAAGTGTCCTTTTCATACAAATATTTGCACTTACCGCAAGTCCCGCGTGCGTATTCCACGCATTAAAATGAATACTTGTATGAAAAGGGGCAATCCCGCCTCCGTGATAAAACCGCACGATATTAAAAACACCCTTACACTGGATTCCTGTCCGTAATGAATTGAATTTGGAATTTTATGTGCAACTCACACTTGAGTTTCTCGAGGCAGTTGATCTGCTTCATGAGGCTGTTGATGTGGTCCTGGCAGCCGCGGCAGTACGCCTCCAGCATCAGCCCGAAGCGCACCGACACCGACGGCATGTGCATCTCGGAACTGCGCACACGCAGATACAAGTAAGTCAGTAAATGGATATATAGCCTGACCAGGAACATAAAAACCCTCGCCATGTTGCGGAAAACTAATGGTACTAATTAAGCAGGCCGCTACCAACCGTGCGATGTGGAAGTCATTGGGGGAGGCCTATGTTCAGCAGTGGACGTCCTGTGGCTGAAATGATGATGATGATGATGATGAATGGTACTAATTTCTTTTAATGGCAACAGTAAATGAAAACTTCATTAAAATGTCACCTTGCAAAGTGTCAAAGTGTAAACAAACTTTATTTTAAATGTGTGCAATTTATTTTGTGATTTAAATTGCTAAAAACTTTATACAGGGTGTTGATTTCAATACCCGCCATATTTAGGGAGTTGATTAAGTAGCTTATTCTGATCACGAATCAGCAAAAAAACTGACTTCAAAATTTTTTTAAATTATATTTTAAATATCTACGATTTCCATNCTGTTAGTTAGGTTCAGGTTAAACTTCCATTCTTCATAACTTACATAAAATAATTCATCATCATGTTCGTGATTATTTTAAATGAACTTAATTTCATTACTTACACGAAATAACTATCAAAATGTATTGATATTCTTATCGTTTTAATAATAACGATTGAGCTACTACAAATCATTTGCATTTGAGTATTTTGGAAGCTTGCTATAAGAGCATTAATTATGATAGGACGGATCTTTAGTTAACAAAGATCTTCGGTCATCGAATGTGCAAATTTGCGATTTTTGATTGTTTTCTCGTGCGGTTTTGAGTAGTTAGTGTGTGAACGTGTGATAGTGAGTGTGGTAATAGTGAGTGAGTGTTAGGAATATGCCTAACCACACGTACAGTGCTCGTGAGTAGATACGTAAACATGGTTTACTGTTACGGGAGGGCACGTGGAAACGCATCTGAAGTCGCATCGGTAAGTACCTAACTCTAAACTTAAAGGACATTCCTTTTTAATGTAGGAAGTGAATCTGGTAATTTTGTGTAGAAAATACTCCCGCCGTCGCGGTAGGTAGTGGCGGAAAGCGCTCCAATACACTCACACACACATAGGAAACAGCAAACTAATTTAAAACGAACTTTAACTTTAGTTAGTCAAAGAAAAAACCTATTTACACTACCAACTTTACGTATCCTTCAGTAGACTATCCAACATGATAAGCGAGCGATCCGCGTAGCTCGATGGGTGCCCGTGCCACAGTAAACGTATATTGCATTATTGCGAGCCATAGTACAGTTGATGTTGCACGGAAAATATTCGCTAAAAATTCCACTTTCGTTTGTAATTTATTTTTTGGTGGATAATGCGTTTATGTAAGTCATAATATATCACCTAAATAAATATGGCGAGTATTGAAATCAACACCCTGTATAGTCGCAAAAGAAAAGTGGTTCACAATGTGTTAAAAATTTGTCGAAGAGAAATACTAAGGGTTCGGACAATATTTTTATTGAATAATGTTTCCGACAAAGGTTGTCAAATTGACTGACATGTTTATCGTATAGTACAGTCCACTATGAAAATAAACTGTGGTTTGTTTTAACTACCTATTTTAAAGTTTTTTGTCACTTTGTAAGTATTGAATTTTATGGAATTGGGAAAGAAGTACCGAGTTTGAAGAGTTCATGAGCAGACATTGCAGTTGAATATTCAAGTTCTGAATTTGATTATTGATGAATAATAAAATAAATTCTACTAGCTCGATTGATGGTTTCATTTCATTTATTTAAACCAGGTTACCTATATAATCTTTTTTTGTTAATTTATGAAAATATCAAACTAGCCCGTAATCCTAAAATTAAAGTTAGGCTATTAATTTAACACAGGTACGACTGTACTCAGTGTTGCACTATCAAATGCAATTGACGCGCCTCTATGACAGGGTTTTTATGTTCCTGGTCAGGCTATACAACCCGGTCGAGTTAAGTGCGCACCCGGCAGCCGTGACGTCACATCGACGCTCTGCTCGTCGGGGGTTGTGCGGATTAGTGGGAGAGTCGCATTCCAGCGAGGTGCGCAGTTAGCACGATGGGGTAGTGTATATGTATGTCGGTCGTCGTAATAAGGCGTATTACCAGGCCTGGCTCACTCCGCGCGGTACATCCGATAATTACCTACAGCGAAGCGCCCCGCCGGCGGGTATTATATCAGTCGAGTGTCACGCCCGCGCTCGTCAGGACGCTGGCAATGCTGGCATGCGTTGTAGTATGATTATAATTCTATGATCGAAGTATTATTTAAAAGTGGACATAAAGAGAAAGAAATATTGTGCGGCGTTCGGGTGTTTAAATTCGAAAAGTAATCTACCGGATTTATCTTTTTTTTTCGCTTCCCAAAGATGCTGATCCGCTTCCCAAAGGTAATCAATAATTCTTATAGTACGAGAGCCCACGACCAAAACCATGTGTCATAGCAATACGGCAAAAACCCTATAAAATCGTTAGATTGTATGATTCTGAACCCGACTAGGTGTGTAGTAACGGTCGAAAGTGTAGCAACTGAGTGGGAGGCCATTTCTGCTGTGTCAAAAAAAAAAGACAGTCGGTATTATAGCAATACGTCTGATAGTGAAAATGTACATAGATTTTATAATTGTATTACGAAAAAGTTTGTTTTCAGACATTTTGCGCGTAGCATATAGCCTGTGCGCATTTTTGAAAATGTCAACAAAGGACAGTGCCAATCCATGTATGGAAGTTGGACCAAGTGCTGCCCAGAATGAAACTATAGTGCATTTTGTTCCTCAGGCCAATACTAATTTGTAAACCGAAGCGCACTGAAATATATCCCTGGAGTTAAGAGAAAAAAAGAGTTTTGTTTTGAATTATTTACATACAAAATATCATCGATGTATACGTACTACGCATAAGATTTCGCGATTGTGGCATTAAATAACACTCGCTATGTTGAACTTAACCATACTGCATCCGTACACCTTACTTTAGTACGACTTCGACATTATTTTTATGCGATCAAGCGCTGTTGCAGTAGTTTGGTTACTTGGCAGAAATTAATTATTTCCAAAATGGAGCAAGAAGTTTAAGCTTACAATAACTTCAATAATCGATTGTAATACACCAATAAATTGTTTTTTTGCAAGGATAGAGAACTAAAACTTCTTTCTTCATTTTGGAAATAATTAATTTCTGTCAACTTACCAAACAATTAAAACAGCGCTAGATCGTTTATAAAGAATATCTAAATCGCACTAAAGTAACGTGTACGGATGCAGTATGGTTAAGTTCAACATAGCGAGTGTTATTTAATTCCACAATCGCGAAATCTTATGCGTAGTACGTATACATCGATGATATTTTGTATGTAAATAATTCAAAACTAAACTCTTTTTTTCTCTTAACTCCAGGGATAGATTTCAGTGAGATTCGGTTTACACATTAGTATAGGCCTAAGGAACAAAATGCACTATGGGTTGATTATGGGCAACACTTGGTCCAAACCCTGGCACTATCCTTTAGCCGACCTGTATCATAGCAATACGGATAATTATTTTTTTTAACTTTTCGTATTGCTGCCATGATTACCAAAAACCTGTTTTCAGACACTTTAAGTGTATCAAAAAGTTGTATGATAGAGAAGGTGCTACACTTAATTTGTCTGATATAAATTTTTTGCACATGTGGACAACTTATTTTATCATGTCCAACAATTTTCAGACATATTGCTATGATACCGATCGGTAAAATTTGTTAACATTTTCAAAACGGTCTCAAAATTTAATGCGTTCACATTTCCGTCTGAAAATTGTTTTGTTCGCATCAAATAACCAAAATTTACTAATAAAAAAGATTTTCAGACGTATTGCTATGAGACATTTTTTTTGTCTCATTTTTAATTTTTTTAAGTGATTTTACGGGTTTGCGCTACACCACTAACGTCTGAAAATAATGTTTCCGGTATCTCAGAACTATCATTCAACTACAGTCTGCAAATCAGACATATTGCTATGATGCAGTTCGGCAAGATTCTTTGTCAATTTTGAAAATTCGGTCAGATCAAACGCTACGCGGAAAATGTCTGATATTGGTATTTTCGAGTTCAGGATAATCGTATCTATCGATTTGATGCGGTTTTGGCCGTATTGCTATGAGACAAAAATTTTGGTCGTGGGCTCTCGTACTATTAGGATAGTATAGGAACCTAACCTACTATGAAGGTTTTCCATAATGAATGCATACTTACCTACATACGTACCTCATTACAAATAAGTAGATTAATTATTTTTTTACTAGACAGCAACCCTAACAGTGTAAGAAGAGTTCAGAGGCACGCGATAGAAAGAGACAAAACTTGTAGGTGAATAAAATTGTAGGTACGTAGTGCTGTGCGAGCTGAATTCCACTGTATCGCGTCGTAGCAAGACTCGCATTTATTTAAATCGTCTTGCGGAGTAATCCTTCTGTACCTGTACTATTACTTATTCTGTGGTATTACTGCAAAGTTCTGCCGCCAGAGTGCAGCACTAGCTCAATTTTTTTTTAACAATAGGGTATTTGACACCACCGATCGATTATCGTACCTACTTTTAAAAACTGTCATAATGAGACTCTCCCATAGATTTTGTAGGAAAACATAAGACGATAACGACGTGACTATTTTAAATGACTAACTTTTTATCATAATTTACAGTTTATTTAAAATTAATTGAGTTTTTAAGATCAGAATGAAGTGTTTTTTAAAGTTATGCTTTGAACTCTCAACTCCAACTCAAGAGAACCCAATCATTCTATTAATTTAATTTTATAGAAATTGGCTAACTGTGAGACCTGCACAGAGCCGTAATAAGAGAGAACTGACCGTAAATGCCAGAAGAGGTAGTGCCCAATGATCATGTTTTTGAAGGCTCTCTGCAGAAGGAACACAGACAGGTCGCACATCAGGTAACACTCGTGCTTCAGGGCTTGCACCAGCTGTAGTAGGTATAGCAGCAGGTCTTCGTCACTGTGAATTAAAGAAATTGTCAAAAAACATTACCATCAGCAGGACATCGCCATACGAATAATTCTCCCTAACGTAAAAGGCTGCGCTAACGTAGATACTTTGTCTTGAGTCGCATACAAAGCCACCAATGTATACTTTATTCAACGTAAAATCCATACAGTTTTTGTTTTCAGTTTATATTCTTGATATATTTGCCACATAGTGTTTGGTGTCGGTTACTGGAGCAGGCGTTGATCCAGCTCTCGAAAAAGGTTGTGGTCAATCACAATCACCCGCAAATTGGCCAAGAATGACGACAGATATCTAATAAGTTTAAGGGCATCCCTATCGTGTCCACTAGTGGATCGGCGCCAGAACTGGAGAGTAAAAGTCGTCAGTAGAGACGAGACAAGCAGCATTAACTACTTTTCATGTCAGCAACAAAGTTTTCAATCGCCAATACTGGACACAACTCGGTTTTCTGTGACGATGTGCCGTATCGGCAATAAAACGTCTATATTAGCGCACCCTCTACATTGATACTTGAAACCAGACTTACGAGATCTCCTCCAAGCACTTGACGGCGAAGCTTCTCACAGCGGCGTCGGCGTACGCATAGTCCAGTAGCTCTAAGGCCGATGCCAAGGGGAGAGTGGGCCAGTCCATCAGCATGCGAGACACGCTGGCCGCTTCTGCCCTGTCTCCCCACTCAACACATGAAAGCAATCGCGGCAAAAGTTCCGGGGCTTCAGTTCGGAAGTGATTCCTGTGGGAGAATAAAAAATTTTTAAGTGAATATAAGACAATAGTTACTTACATTGAAACTCTCTTTTTGCCCCTCTATGTTTTGACATGGAAACACGTAATAACACGTCATGTCGCACTTTAATTTACTGGGCTGGGCGGTACAAAATTCGCTGGGCCAGCTAATCGCTAATGAAATTATTGTAAGAGATTTTTTTTCGCATTTCAGCTACTTGATAAGGTTTTTGCTTTTTTTTGTCTATTATTATTTTTTTATAATTTCGTCACTTACCATCAGGTGAGATACAGGCCAAGAGCTTCCTCGTTGTGGATAAAAAAAAAATATATTTTCAGAAGTTTGAAAAATGATTTTTGCAACATACCTTAACGCCCACATATTCTTCTTGTCCTGTTCGTGCATTTCATACATGGGGTCCCTTTCAGCGGTTGCCCTTAGCTTTTCGAAGTCCCGCCCCAGTCGGGCCATGACGTCTGGAGATCCGCTCTCAATGTGCTCGGCATACCCACGTACCTCCTCTTGCTTTGGGAATAGAATCGGGTCTTGGCACTCGTAGCTGAAAGAAAAAGGTTACTCAATATTCTATCATTCATTTATTTATTTATTTACCCCCTTACTAATAAAACTTAGACGCTCGTTGAACAGTGTTTTAAAGTGACGTTTAGTATGGAAATGTCATTTTAAAACAGTGTTCAACAACTGTGTAACTTTTTATTAGTAAGGGGGTTAATCTTTAATGCCATTTAGATTGGTGCTTAAGGCGAACATAATGCCATAAGGCATTACATTCGTACTAAACAGAATTGTTACTTCATAATAATAATACAAAAGAACTGACGGCCGATGGGGCAGCAAGGTTCTGGAGTGGAGGCCGCGTACCGGAAAACGCAGCGTGGGACGTCAAGGTGGACCGACGACATCATAAAGGTAGCAGGAAGGCGCTGGACGCAGGCCGCTACCAACTGGGCAACATGGAAAGCATTGAGGGAGGCCTATGTTCAGCAGTGGACGTCCTATGGCTGAGATGATGATGATTTCTTATTAGAAATGGAGGAAAAAAAGAGGAAGTCATAATGCCCGCAAAAAGCGTCACCTCGCTCGGTGTTGCCAGTCATCATTCTTTATTTACCAACTAGCAGGTACTTACTTGCAGAAGCGCACTTGCAGCGCTGCGCAGGAGTCGGTATTAGGGCTGGAGAGCACTGTTCCTAACGGGTGTAGAAGTTGATCGTCGCCCTGAGTCTCGTCTGCCACGTGGGTTGACATAAACAACGTTAACCCATCTGTGCGCAGCTGGTCTTTGTAGTCGAATATCATGGTGTTGGCCCATGCTAGCTTGTTTATAGAATCCTGATGGAATGAACAGATTAACAAGTCATTAGTTACATTGTTTATTAAAAGGTATACTGATGGTGATGGGTATACAGCAAAAGACTAGGGTTGAGTTGCACAAACATAACAATAACCAGAGCTTTTTTGTATGGAGTTTGACAGATTTTTAAAGTTTGTTACAGTTAAGTAAAATTTTGCAACTTAATCTAAAATGCTAAGTACTTAATTTGTGATGTTTATGACATTTGTGCCGGTATGCACATAATTTAAACCTTAAAAAACTCTTAATTTTTCTTTTTAGTGTTCAAAGGTAGGTAATACGGTGATGTTTTGAAAACAGAAGAACGAAAGTACGAAAATGCTAACCTTACTAGCATCTTTCCCGCGTTTCTTGCTTTTCGCTTTAATAATTTCGTATATCCCAAAGCAGAGTCTCGCCATCCTCGGCAGGTTGTGTACCATGATGGGGAACTTCAGTTTCTGGTCCCATTGAGCCACTCCTTCTTTGGAGACAGGTGCTGCGCGAGTTTTTTGCGCCTCGCATAATGCTTTGCCGCCGTGGAATATGCCCGCTTGGCATATTACCTGGTCGTTAAAAAGTAAGCATAAACAATAAAAATCTTATGCATAGAGCAGTGAAAGGAGGAAGTTAAATGTTTTGTAAATATTTTTTTGAATATTACAGAAAATTAAGCTATACCTTTACTTATTACATTTCATGAGGATTTTTTTTTTCAAATTCAAAATTCTGTATGTTTGCCCTTTTTAGGGCATTTCCAAACCAAATATAGATTAAGGAAATGAACAACAACATAATAATATATCGTACCAAACACATGACATACCATTTGCCTTAATTATTAGTCCAAGTGCTTGCTTAATAAAAATAATTACATGCAATTTTACAATTAAAATACATTTTCTGATATGCTCTTGAGTGTACATGGAAAGAACAATTTTATGTAATCACCTAGGTTTTCATGGACACAAAAAAATATTATCTATAGTCGCGACTGTGCGACGGGCGGCAGCAGTGGGTGTGCGAGCGCGACAGCAATATAATTACGCGCGACCGATAAGGATGGGTAGCTTAGGGTCATTGGACGAAATTCTACGTGCTCGGCGACCAGACTTTAGTATAATCTCACCTCCACAACCCGTCCGGGGTCGACGTTGAGTCCCCCGACGGACAGCACGTTACACGAGTAATTCTTCTCCAGATTCCACGACATGACGTATTTGGTGCGCCGGCGCATCGTGCTCGAGTGTTCGGACGTCAGCCGCGGCCGCTCCGGTATGAAGTAGTCTTGGGAGTCAGCTGGAAAGGAGTTTAAATTGAACTATGTATCGAAGATTCTAACAGTTTATGGATGAATGTTGCACAAGATAAAACTCTAGTCATCATGAACATTGAGGGCTATCGTTTTAGTGCTCGACAGTTGGCACCATTGACGATTGAAATTACCCTAGTCTACAGTGGCGCCATCCTAGCGAGTCTCCTACCGCTTCAGCGCTTGTCACCAGTTGGTGCCACTAGCTTTGCCAGAAGCACGTGACTGACAGTGATCTATGGCCTAATTCACGTATTTTGACAGTCAAAATCTTGCTGACGTTCAGAAGTCGTCCCATTGAAAAACAGTTCTAAATACGTATTCACAAAGGTCATTTCGATAGAACGATTACTCGATAGGATCACAACTCAGTAGTGTCCGACCGAATGTTCGGTTTCGGTTTCGTTTTCGGTTGAGTTTCGGTAAAAACACGAGTTTCGGTTTAGTTTCGTTTTCGGCGGCAAACTTGCCGAAACTACGACCGAAACCGAATGTGCATTCGGGAGTTTCCGCGCTGTTATCGGTCATGTTCGGCGCATTGAATGAGTGGATGAATCCGATCAGATCAGAGCCAATGTCGTGATTCGCTCGCTTGTTTGTTTGCTGTTAGTTTTGTTTTGTTTTGGTGGCGAGTTTTCGAGAGATTTATTTTGAATGGTATGGTAAGTTTTATCTCGTTTTATGTCGTTATAACATAAGAGCGGGTGTAAACATCAAAAAAAATATTCAATATGACTGATAAAAGTATAGTAATCAAGTTTAATCTAACCTACAAATTTTTTTTTGGTTCTCAAATGTTATACGTAAACAAACATTAGTTAAGTAGTTAGTAATGACTATAGTGCATTTCATGGTGATAATATTATGGATTCAGAGTTTCAAAGTTCATTTTAGTATTTATCACCAAGATATCCAAGTGGCAAGTACCTACATTGATACTAACTTACATACCTACCTACTACCAATTTTGTTTTGATAAATTATTAAGGTAAAAGATCCGACCATGGAACGGGTTATGTAGATGTCCTGAATATTGCGAGTAATTAAAAAAAAATCAGACTATAAATCCTTCTTTTTCTTTTTCTTTTTTAATAGGTACATAATTTGATACCTTTTAGAGTAAAAAGGCACTTTAGAAGTTAAATTTTAATGCAATTTAAAGAGAAAACGGTAAAGACTGACTGATTATAATAACGTTTTCTTTACTTTTCCCTCTAAATATGAGCCTTGTAAGGAAGTTTCGGTTTCGGTTTCGGTTTCGGCCGAAATAGACACCGTTGCCGAAATTCGTTTTCGGTTTCGGTTTCGGTCGTAAAACTAGTTTCGGTCGGACACTACAACTCAGCGATTTGTTGTCGTTAAAGTTTTGTTACGTCGTCCCATAGAAAAACAGTTCTAAATCCGTATTCACAAGGGTCATTTCGATAGAACGATTACTCGATAGGATCGCAACTCGGCAATTTGTTGTCGTTGAAGTTTTGTTACGTGAATTAGGCTACTGGTGAGCGCTAAAATGATAGCCCTCATCAGTTGGCAAAAAGGGCTGTAGTTTTAGCGCTCACTAGTGTGTGCCACTGGCGAGTAATTTACTTGTAGCTAAAACAGTGGCGCCAACTGTTGCTCTACGATCATACTGGATAGCTTTCAGAATAACCTACCTTACCTAATACAAAAAAAGCTTTCATAATACTATTACAGTCCTGTTTTAGTAAACGTTAAAAATATAGGAAAATAGATCACCGACTCACTCAGAAACTGTAGTTTATCCATGCTAACAGTCATGACCTGTGGCACGAGGTCTCTGGAAAGCATCTCCTGGATATACTGGAACTGTATGAGGGGGTAGTCTCCGAAAAGATATTCTTCACGACCACACACTTTGAGCACATAGTTGGTTGCGGGTTCACTACGCATATTTAAGGAGTTGGCTTGTCTCCGAAGGATTATTTCAATGTGCTGTGCTGGCGTCCTAGTTATAGGCACGCATAAGGACGATGAGAACTGAAAAACAATTTGGCTGTTTATGTGTTGGAAAGTTGTTAAAAGAAACTAAACTATTTGGTTGCAAAATCGTTTTACATTAGAGGAACTTTTTCCTTATTCATTATCCTCAATTTTTGTTGTTTACAAACACGTGAGTCATTACTGAACTACCAAAACAATATTGAAGCGATTATCTTATTAACACTTATCTTTGTTACCTTAGCATATTTTTTAGCTCTACAATCAAATTTAAATACCTCAGAGTTGGCGAATTTGGTTACAAGTATGAAGCAGTTCTTATTTAGGTGGCTCTTCAATGTTACTGGTACGGCCTGTTCTGCTAGCCTCGGTGGGCACTGGTAACGGAGTCTTTCCAGCCATGTGCTTTGCATTCTCTTCATCAGACTCTCTTCAGCTAGACTCCTCATTTGTTTACGAAAGTCATTCACTTCCAAACTTCTTAGACTATCAAATTCATTTAAACCTGGAATAAAATGATCACAAATGTAAAGAATTCTGCCTTTTTATTTAATAGTAAAAAGACGAACAATATTTTCAGCATACCTTTTCCAATTAAGTGACTTATTTGTGTGTTCAGCAAGTGTTCACCTGGGACCTTGACTGACCGTTCTATGATCATCAACACACCACATACTGGCTTTATGTCCCGCAGGCGTTTGTTTTCATCATCCACCTCTTCCGGTGCGGCAAGTGAATTGACGAATTGGAATACATAGCCGGACATTTCATGGAGCATCCCGAAGAGGGGATAGCTCCCTGCTCGGTCCCATAAGTCCTATAAAAACATATGTCAATCTTTCTTTACTCATTTCTCTTGGAAAATGGCAATTATAATAAGATATCATTAGTAATTCCATATTTAGGCATACATTTAGTCAAGGAAATATTTGCTAGGTCCAAATTTCATGTGACAATGGGCTTATCTAATACATTGGAAACTATGAGGAAAACCTCATAGATGCTTAAAATATCCACAGATATCTATTAGCCTTTCAAAGCTTAATAATTATCCTAAATCTTCTGCCCCTGAGTACACTTATCAAGAATAATCTACATACACGAAATTTGTAAACAATTTGGTCTACTTTCTAAAGAGTAAACATTCATTGTCTGACCTAGTTTTGAAGAAAAAGGAAACGTTAGGTGATGCGAGCATGATGCGTGAGTCACACTGCCCACCAGACCAGGCTCGGGACTAACCTCCTTGACATCGTGCAGGGTCGCGTCCCAGCTCACTCTCAGAGGAATGTAAATAGAGTTCGGCAGCAGGCACGTCAAATCCACGCTATCGGACGGCGAGGACGTCCAATAGTCCCACGTATACGGACAACTCGGTGCAGGAACCATTGTTGTGATATTTTGCCCCTCAGGATTCCCAAATTACCCCCACAACATTTTTTGTTGACCTTTCACTGATAAGTCAAGTCCACAACAATGGGGTCGCTGCCACACACTGAAAACATTCCCAGAGAAAATTAGTCACTGTTATTGACCACTGCAATGTTGAATCATAGCATTTCCTGGTATTTACGAGGGGCAAATCGCCATTCGAGAACTGTCACTAACGGCATTACACAAACAACGTTGAAAAACACCGACGTGTTTATTTTATTACCTTCACACAGAGCGCTTACATAATTCAATTACAATATCACTAACGACTAAAATCACTGAAATATGTTTGTGAAATTGTAAATAAAGATTACGTGCAACAAACTACGGAAAAGCAAATATTACTTTTTTTCTCTATGGTTTATGGTCTTTTTGAGCTGTTGACTTTTTTTCTATTTTTCATAGGGGTGCGTATCTAGCTAAAGCAATTAATCAAATATAATTGATCGATTAAAAGTTCAATACATTTTGATAATGGCTGATCGTATAATCGGTTTCAGTCTTTGAGCAAATAACTTCAATGGAGACGGCATAGATAGCACGAATCTCCTACATGGAATCCGCTTACCCGCGCAACCAAACAGCATATTTTTTTAACTGAACGCATTTTAACCTAAAAAATATTTAGTTTGACATTTGTCTCGTGATTGACATTGAGCAATCTGGCAATTTACCATGAAATACGATTTTTTATTCACTGATTGCGAAAATTAAAATGTTTGAACACTCTGTGAAAGTACCAAGACATTATAAAGTTGCAGCAAGTATTTTTAAGAAGATATCCACTGAAGGTGGGAGCTTAAAATCTTTGTTATACGACGACAAACTTAAGCACTTTGTAAGTATTTACAAATAGTGATTTTTATGTTATTTCATGTATTTATTTATGAGTAATATGATATCATGGCTTTTCACAACTAGTTACAGTCTGTTTTTATACGTTTTGCAGCGAATTAATGTGCTTTATGCACTTATAAATGAAACCATTAAACATGCCGCTGATATAGACAAAATCTTTGAGAACTCTTGTTTATTAGACAAAGAGACTCGATTAGACCCATGGCTAGCCAAAGTTTTGACCGCCGAACTGCTGTTTGGCAAAAAAACCCTTCCTGGCAAAAGCAAACCTGAACAAACAATCTTAACTTACAAAGACCAGTTTGAGAAGTACACTAGCGACCATCAAGACGACTTGAAGACTGAAGGTAATATTATTGTTTATTTTTTCAGATTTATTAGCGACATAAAAATAATCATCTACAATGGCTGAGACTGATGAAGGTCCTTTGATACCCATGGAGACGAAGAGAGCAGCGCTAGCTCTGGCAAATCTATTTTTGTACAGTGTTGCAATGTTCACACTGCCTTTCGTTGCATTTTTCGGAATGCGACACATTCTGACTGAATATTACCCTTCAAATAGTTTTGTAGTGACCGCATGGTCAGTAATTGCCGCAGTGGTGGTTGTAAATACTATAATATGTGTTTATGCGTATAAGGCGTACCATGAGAAAGAGTATGATGAGCATGGTAATGAAGTTGACCAGCACTCTTACAAGCCTGCACCAGCTGCAGAAGCTGAGAAGAGCAGTTTAAATTTAAAACAAGATTGATATTGTTGTTTTTTCACATTCCACTAACTTCAAAATGTGGTTCAGTATTGATTAATTTTATGTATTTTGATTTCACATGCAAAGAAAATTTAGCTTTATAGTTATTAAATTATAATAATAAAAATTTAAAAATTATATATGAATAGTTTTATTTGTAGTTCTATGTTTATCTGTAATTTGTGTTGTTTCGTTGAATTGTATTGTGCAGAAATACAAATGCATAATTATTACCTAAGATCTAGCAGGGATAGCCATAGTATCTGCAATCTTCTGAATCTAAAACAACTGGCAAAGTTGTTGTTAATCAACATCACCACAGTTTTTACAATAATTATTCAGATAGTCAATAAGTTCTCTAAAATTCCAACATATGCCATACAAATATGGTATTTTTAACTGAATAATAATTTAATTTCTCTATGTTCAAATCCTAATAAATGATTAAGCATTGCAATGCAATTCTCTAGCTAGATACCTTTGCTATAGTCCGGTCGCCGAGCACGTAGAATTTCGTCCAATGACCCCAAGCTACCTATCCTTATCGCTCGCGCGTAATTATATTTGCTGTCGGACTGCGACGGGCGGCAGCAGTGAGTGTGCGAGCGTACGTGGTCGGCGACCAGACTTTAGTTATTTATTTAATAGGACAACCAACAAGACATACACTGGAAGACAATCAATATTTACAACATATTTAACTTAATCTAAGTGCTGCCTTAATTATAGCTATAGCTAATTATATCCATAAGATGTTCCATAATATTAATCTAGTCACTAATAGTACTTTGTATGCTTTGTTTGGAGCTATGTAAGTACCCAGCTTAATTCTGACGAATAATATTTAATTAATATACCAAAAGTTCATTATTAAAACCCCAAGTTTACAGTTGTCCGCAGGCCCCGGTATGTTCGCGTCAACACCAACTTATTGACGACATCGGACGCCATCAGAGCATTCCAAGATGAAGGCTACAGATTCATACGGTGCACCTCCGGCTCATACGACGACTACTTGAAGCAAATACAGCAGCTCACTGAATACGACTTTACACAAGACTATCACGTGAAGACAATGTTTGTGTTCGCTTCAAATACAAAGCTGCACGAACATGAGTTGTATTTGGAGAGCCAAATTGTTCTGCAAGATAAGGTTTGTATTTTTCTTTGTGTTACCTGATACTGGCAGATTAATGCTTTCTTAAAAAACACTAGTAAAGCTCCACAGTGACTCAGTTTACTATACAATTTCTAAAATATTCTCCCAATAACTAATTTTTGGAGCCGGAAGACGTAGTGTGGGCGGGCCTCCCACTAGGTGGAACGACGATCTGGTGAAGGTCGCGGGAGGTGCCTGGATGCGGGCGGCGCAGGACCGCTCTTTGTGGAAAACCTTGGGGGAGGCCTTTGTCCAGCAGTCGTCGTCTTTGAAACGAAGTAATTTCTGAAAATACTTTAATATTATGAAGCTGAACTATTAACAGCCAGATGCCTGGGGTAGTTTTAATTTACTGTCTAAAAGTTATCTCGTTTAAACTAAAATAGTAAGACACGGGTCTTACCGCGACGTTTATTATTGAGTTACATTATTATGTACTCACGGCTTGACGTTAAGTGATCTCGTAGATTGCGAATGATTTTATGTTGAATAATTTTCAGGCCACAGCGCTGCCCGTTCATTTGCTGGCGCCGCCACCTGGGAGCTGCGTCTTGGATATGTGTGCTGCGCCCGGCATGAAGACCACTCAGCTAGCTGCGTATATGAGGAATCAGGTAAGAATAATGACTGTATCTCTCTCTTCAGTCGTACCCTCATTCTTGAGGGCCGTGACTCTTCGTATGTAGTTAGCAGATAGCGTTAGTTGTCTCCACTTATTGACTGCATATTACGCTTCGTTCGTTCGTTTCAGCCGAATGACGTCCACTGCTGGACAAAGGCCTCCTCCAAGGATTTCCGCAAAGACCGGTCCTGCGCTTACGCTTACATACGCTTAATCTGGTAGCACATCTCATAACCAGGATACCAAAACCTTTTCAATACATCTATGCGTTCTCTTTGCCATGCTTTGCGGCTTAATGAGGGCTATCGTTTTTATACTTAACAGTTGGCACCCCTGGCGATTAACAGGACCTTACTCTACAGTAGCGCCATCTTGATGTGTGCAAATGCGATAGTCCTCCTACCACTTTAGCGCTTACCATTTGGTGCCACTGTCTTCGCTACTAGCAAGTGACAGGACCTTACTCTACAGTGGCGCTAACTGGTGAGCGCTAAAACCATAGCCCTCATTAGTTGTGCTACCGACATACCTAAACACTGAACAGCTTATGCAAATCTGTACAGATTTTTGTAGAACAAATTCATCAATCTAATGTATCATTTTTACAGGGACGAGTATACGCCATAGAGAGGGACACAAGGCGATACCAGACGTTATGCGACTTCGTCAAGAAAACCGACTCCAAATGCGTGGAAACCATGAATAAGGATTGCCTCGAGATAAAGAGGGGAGATTTGGACGACGTCGAGTACATACTTCTGGACCCCAGTTGTACTGGATCAGGTTAATGTTGGCCCTAACTTACTTTATTGTCCTGCCACGATAAAATATTATCGACGATTTTAGACGACAAATTTTAATGTATGGGCTTATCTGAAATCAATAAAACGCGTCGATATTTATATCGTGGTCGTCTGCACTGCTGTAGTGATATGTATAAGTATTAACACTAAATTAATACTATTTACTGATATGTTTTTCACCCAGTTAACTTCTAAGTAGAGAGTAATATGATATGATATGGGGTTAACGATATGTTAATTTAAAGTAAACGGTCAAATATACGACACACTTTCAACGTGAGACAGAAAAACTAACCCGAAAATTGTGACCCCGATGTCTGCATGAGATTACAAAATTTTATATTTTCTTTGTTTGCGACACATTTAGCTACACACATCAATGACATACTCAAACAAATACTTTTTTGTATACAGGCATGGAGATCAGCGTTCACAACTACGTGGAACCGGCTAGACTTGCAAAACTGACGTCATTACAAGAGAAGTTTTTAAAACATGCCATGAACTCATTCCCTAATGCCAAGAGAATCGTCTACAGCACTTGCTCCATCTACCCTGAAGAGAACGAACGAGCAGTCAGCAACGCAGTCAAGAATTCGCGAAGCAATTGGAAAGTCCTCGATGCTAAGGAGCTGATGAAAGGTCAGTGGAACAACTTTGGTTCAGGCATGTACGGTGTAATAGGCACGAAATGTCTCTACGCCAGACCAGACTCGGATTTCACTACGGGATTCTTCTTAGCTGTGCTAGAAAGGGGTCAAAAAGGTTCGGAAAACTCGAATAAAGAAAAAGCTAATAAAAACGCCGATTCTAATTCTACAACCGAACAGGAAGATATGTGCAAGAATACTTCGAAAACAGTCACTGATATTGAAGAAGAAAAAGAAGCTAGTGAAAAACCTCCAAAAAAGAAGAAAAAGAAAAATACACAAGCTCACAGTGAAATGAAGGAGAGTATTCAAGAGGAAGAAATCAACGCCGAAGATGACACCAAGAAAAAGAAGAAAAAACATAAAAACAATGACGTTGATGTATCGTTAACATATGAAAATGCTGAAAATCTTACTACAACAGATGGAACTGATACAATGACTTCTAAAAAAAAGAAAAAGAAAAAAGACAAAACCCGCGAACAAGATGAAAATGCTGATACAGAAGCTCAAGCAGCTGACGATGTTATTCTAGAAATGGAAGAACCAACTAAAAAGAAGAAAAAGAAAAGAAAACTAGAAGAAGTGGATGAACAAAGCTCACAAGATAATTTAGAAGTCTCAGAAATCGAAGAGGTACAAAAGAAAAAGAAGAAAAAACGTAACAAAACCAATGAAATTGAAACGTAAGTTTCGTTACTTATTTTTTTACTTTGTTTTATAAATAAATAAAACGTGTTTGAATTTTAATTATGAATTTTATTATTTACTTACCCACAGCACTCAAAGCTAGGTATTACTTTTAATAATGGACTTATGAAACCTGTATAGCAATTAGTAAGATCATTTAACACGCATACCATGCAAATATTATAACGCAAAATTACTTAATTGAGTCACAGTGCAGAACCTAGCATTAAGTGGGGCAAAATTCACAAGCGACATGCTAGGCGTCTAGCCACGGCTTCTAGGAACTGGAGTACCTACGATAATTTATTCCTCGCCATTTTTCTTTATTTCAATTTGGACTTTATTCCGCTCCAATAAGTTTTTCTTTGATGAATTGTGTGGTGTGGTGGGGACACGCCATTTTGTCACGAGATCACGTGCGTTCTTGTTTTTATTGCTTACGTCAGGTACAGAAAATGTCCAGCTGGTTTTACAAAGCACTTTTTGATGGCAATCTGGTAGTCAACTTGATAGAATGCACCTCACTTTGAGGACATAGATAACCGTTACTTTAAAAGCTGGAAGACTGGCATAGCTGGTAATAAAGAGTAGGTAATAACTTCATTTCCATCGGACATTTCGCAGAGATTAGGTAGTTAACTCCTTCGTTCAAAGCAATGGTTCTCATTAGGTACATCGTTTTCTACGTTATCTACTACAACACAGCCTATTCCAATTGTAACAAAGATGTGTTGTGAACTTTTTGGCTACTTCGGATGTCACAAACTATTTGATGCTACCTGTACCTACCTTAGTAGGTAGAGCATCAATGAACAGCCTACCTTTATTGGTTCATCAAAAAAAAAAACAAATATACCATCCCAACTAATATTATAAATGCGAAAGTAACTCTGTCTGTCTGTCTGTCTGTCTGTCTGTTACGCTTTCCCGCTTAAACCTCGCAACCGATTTTGATGAAATTTGGCATAGAGATAGTTTGAGTCCCGGGAAAGAACATAGGATAGTTTTTATCCCGGTTTTTGAAACAGGGACGCGCGCGATAAAGTTTTTCTGTGACAGACAAAATTCCACGCGGGCGGAAAGCTAGTTATTGATATTTTAATGTAGGTATTCATTGTCTAGTAAAATTACCTAGATAAGAATTCTGTCTTGTATCATAACTAAGCGTGCTAACTGTTAAATAAATAAAGCCT